TCAAAATCTTCTGACCCTTTAAAAGAGAAGTGACGGGAATTGAATGCAGCAGACACAGAGCACCATTAGCATTCATTTTGACATGTTGTTGACAAAAACGACTGCCTGCTACAGCTGGAAATGAGGTTGATGAGAGTAGTAAGAGTGAACTAGAACAGTTAAGTTGGCTCAGAAAACCAAAACAAAGAGCTAAAAGATACCTATAATAATTTAGATCACATTTTTACAATATAGCTACATCTTCCTGTTTGGTGCCATTAAGCAATTTTCCTTTGTGCTGACTTATCAGACCTCAAAGACAGCAGGAAGCTGCAGTGTAGACTGGTGAATTGTGGCTGCCAATCCTCTCAGACATGTTTATATTCATTTGTTAATATCTCTCAATGAATGTGGTCAGAACTTTAGAAAATTAAGACGCTGATGGTGCAACCCAAATGGTTTTAATGCCTCCAAATCGTACCTCTGTTAGACTTAGTAGAAATTTTAAATTATGGTTTGAATGATGACTTATTGTTATTGTCAGCTACAACGACTCGAAGAGCAACCTCATACTAATGGAGCACTTACTGAAATGAAAATGCCAAAATAAAATATCATACATTAGTCATCTGTCAATGACGCAGTATAGACATATCAGTTTGTCGATTTTTAATATGACTAAATCTAAAACCGTTAGCCATTTCCAGTCAAAAGAACAGACGGCGCTGCAATGCAGCCTTTTGTTATCAGAGTTTCTCATGAATCTGCTCCGAGCTAAAGGGGAGAAAAATGACTTTGAGCCATTTAGTGTGTCTGCCTCCATGTGAGCAGAGGATGGGATGGTGCAGCCTCGGGAATCATTCTGTCACAACAAAGCTCTTGTGCTACTTTTACTGCTTTGACATGAAATAAGGACAGACACCCGGTCCGCCCATGGCCTGCTTTTTCTGGTCAATATCTCCTGCTCATTCCCCGTCTCAAAACACCTTCAATATGAGAGAGTGGGAGGAGGCAGCGGAGGAGAGGTGGGGTTTTGTAATAGCAATGGATCCATTTATATATGAAAGCCGACACCCACTGCCACATGGGAAGGTCATTTTTCTGGAGGCAGGTAATGCTTTCTTCTGCTCCCGCTGCTCCCTGAGGTGGGCCGAGTGTAAATTACATCCAGCTCACACTCTGCGCAGTCGAGCCCAGGGCTGGCTGGTGCTCGCCTCCCGCAAATCCCTTCCCTTCCCCATCACCAGTTAGATGCTGAGATATTCCCATCTTGCTTGGGCACTAAGGGACATATCAGACAGGGAATAGCCTGCCTACATGTGGAGATGCTATCGTTCTCTTTCCAGTCTCTCATCATTTCTGTCTGCCTGCACATGTAGATAAAAGGAACACTCCAGCTGCAGCTGCGTATCCTCAACTTCAACTTTTATTTGGGGGCGGGGGGGGGGGACTCCACAGCACTTTGCAGAGAGGGGGAGAAGGGAACAGCAACCCTCCAAATCCACTTAAGTCAGATTGAAAGTGTCAGAACAGCTTGGATGGCAGGCCGAGCAGAGAGCACAGGAGGGAACTGGCTGGCAGACTGTGTTTCATGGCCTGTCAGGTCAGGATACATTATCCCCTGGCTGTACCGTTTCTCATTAGCCCCCTGATGTGCTGTGAGGCCCTACCTGCCTGCCTGCCTGCCATGCACGGCGGAGCCCTGAGTTGGGCTGAGGTGGCACCTCGGCCCAGCTTGGCACCAAGACAATGCTGAGATTGGACAGGTGGAAAGACAAGGAACAAAGGACCTGGGGGGGGGGGGGGGTCGTACTCAAAGGTCACCGATTTCAAAACGGCAAAGGATTTATTGAGCAGGACATGATGCTCTCTACTCTGCCCCTAACCCCAAGGGTTATATCAACATGGGAAAGCAGAGTGATGTAATCCTTCTCAGAGTATTGTCATCATGTTAGGCAGATCCCAAAATTTCCAGGTTGGTACTTTTACAAAGATATTGTCCTCATCAGAAACTGTGTTGGTCGAGCGGTCAACTCTTAAAACAGCCTTAAAACGATGTCATCTTGCCGACAGGAGCACTAGTTTAGAAGATGCTCTAATGGTTTTCAGAAAGTCACTAAACTATGTATTTGTTGGACGACTTGTTGCCAAATACCTTGAGGTTAAAGTAGTTCCGCTTAATTTAATATCCTTGAGATACACAATGATCATATCAAAGTATAATTCAAGGTAAAACCTGACTAACAAGTCAAGTAACAAATCTCTGGGAAGTGCACTGCAAAAACACCGGCATTCAATGCTTAACAAGGTGTCGTGAAAATTAAAAATAGAAACCTGCAGACTACCACTTCTACATGCGAGTTAACATTTCTGAATGTATAAGCGGCAGAGCAGGAGGTGTGACACGCCTCACGGGGGAGAACATGCAGGGAGCGGCAACTGCCATTATCTCTGGGGCAGCCGACACCGGTGCACACACAGGTGGGCAGGAAGTAGCAAAGGGAAAATCAGTCTCATACGCTGTGTTTACACGCTCCTTATACTGTTATTGTTGTTCTACTACAGCATGTCCTCCCATTTTCTATATGCATACTCAAATGTATTATCCCTTCGACAAGCTATTGTGTGACACGTGAACTGCAAATATTGTTATGACAAGTAAAATCGTGTTTAAATGATCTGCCTTTTTGCATTTGCCCCTATTATAGAAGCACCTATCTTCTGACGAGTTGAGGCCTGTTGTACTACAATGCAGCTCCTCTGATTCAGTAGTCTGTGTGTGTGTGTGTGTTCCTGTCTCGGCTGAAGGAGGAGATGGTGGAGTCTGAAAAAAATAAAACAAGCAAACCAAACTCTGTCACTTTGCTGCCATCTAAGCCTCCCCAGCAGCGTCAATAAGAAGCTGCAAAGAGACAAACGCAGGGCTGGCAAGCTAATCCAGGGATCACATTGTGAATCACAAATGTGTGTCCCCCCCTCCCCCTCCTCATCTCCACAGCCAGACGGAAATAGCCGGCTTTGGCACTGCCATACTTTTGCCTTTCTCCTTCTTGCACTCCCTGTTCCTCCCTCCTCCCTTCTCATTTCAAAGCAGGGGGGTGGAGGGGATGAAGTTATTGCATGTGACACACTCAGGAGAGAAAGGGGGTTTTGGTGTGTGGGGGGGGGGGTTGCATTAGTCCAAAAAGCCGAATGTCATGGGAGCAGGATAAGATGCATCTCCTGCTGTTTAATAACAGAGGAATTATTTAAAATAGAAGCAGAAGCAGCAGCAGCAGCAGCGGCGGCGGAATATTTCTGAATCTATATTTAGATTGGGAGTGATGCGTCTCACGCTCGCAGCTCATGTGGGATTCTCACGGGGAGACATGGAAATGCATCAGGGTGGAGATCAATCTAGCGTGCTGCACAGAGCCATGCAGAGAGATGCTGCTCTCACAAGATCGGGCTGAGATATTTTCTCAAAAAAAAAAAAAACATTGGCCGTGTGCACAGTGACCGTTTTTAGCACAACGGTACAGAATAACCTAATAGAATAATCTAACATCTAAACAAGGTAGGATTCATAGCGACAGAGTAAAGTTCCCTTTGTACTACCTTTTTACAAGCAGTCTATTCTTAGCATTTGGTGGCATCACTACACCAGCTGGATACAGGATTATCATCCATTCACTAACCAATAACCTCCAAGTTTTCTTTCAGTCTGCAAATTTCAAACATTATTACTTCCCAGGACCTTGTCGCAGCAAATTGCATTGATTAGCCGGCTTTAAATCAGTTGCCGTTAATTACATTTACCAGGCATTGCTTCGGTAAGCATATAGCTCCACATGATTGCAACTAAATTGCAATTAGCCGATGCCCTGAGCACCCAAGAGGAGGACGTAATGGTAGATTTGTGTAAATCAACGGTACGTGGGTGTTGGACAGAGTCTGGTCATGTGCAGGAATAAATCTGCGGTATAACGAGGCGCTTCAGAAGCAAACGATGGCACTGTTTATTATTTATAACAAAATTCGATTGATTTTTTGCTGATGCAGATTACAATAACTGTTATTGTCTCCACATGTTTAAGCTCTTTTACACTGTATATGCATCCAAAGTTTTCTCAATCTCACAAAAAGCCATTTTCAGTACCAAGGCAATACCAAGAAGTCATACGGGGCAAAAAAGAAAAATTGAAAACCAATGCAAAAAACAAAAAACACAGCCACCAAGAGCCAGGTCGTAAGCACATATCCAAGAAGAAGCAATGAAAATGGTGAAACAATGCAAATATAGCAAGGAAAAAAAGCAGGGGCATTAACAAAAAATCCACCAATCAAATGAGACCTGAGGCGACCAGCTAGCCGAACGGGTCATCAGAGGAGTTTTGCCAGCGGGTGGGCGGGGAGCCCACATATTTCACTGAGAAATATGTCTCCGTTCAGAAGCTAAAGACGCTCTAACATCCATTCCTCTGGGACTTTAAAAGGTTAAGATCACATAAAACGTAATGGGAGTTTATTCCGTGTGAAGGTCTGAATGAAGCAGCGCGTGAGGCTGGTCAACAGATGGTGGTGTTGACAGGCTGCTGGGTTCATTGGCCCGCTCTGTGTACATTTAGCAGGGGGTCACCAAAAACGCCCTGGGATATTTGTCTCTGCCAGTCCCGTTTTATCACACTGTGGCTGTGAAAACACTGCTCATCACAGCTCCATGCGGCCGTGAAAAAAGAAAACACGGCAGGTATGATTTATGGACTGAGGTATGCACTGTCTGACAAGGCAAACAATCCCGCTCGGTGCCGCTGATGCAGATACGAAGCTTTGTTCTGGTTTAGATGAATGAGTGACAGCGTGAACCAAAGGTCAAACTGAATGCCAACCTTCAGTCAAGGAGAAGATTTTTGTTTTCAGCTCAAAGGAGCTTGGCATGAGGATTATCAACAAACATGTCGAGAAATGAGCACATGAAAGGATACCGACCTGCACACACACACACACACACACACACACACTAGCGAGCGTCTCAGGCTTACCGGAAAGTAGAGAAGCAGAGCTCCACACAGGATGGCCTCCAGCAGGACTAAACCTGATGCTCGGATACTCTGCAGAAGAAGAAAGACACACCTATTATTAAACTTATCGTTTATGCATCATACTTAAAGCTACATTAACAGAGTTTTGGCTACATGGGGCTGGGGCAGCAAGCTTTTTTGGAGATGTGTTTTTGTCTCCTATTCACCATCTTTTAGCTCCGTTTTGGTCTCCACCGACTCTTAATTTTTATGTCCAAAATCACTCAATTATAATGTTCACAATGATAATGTTTTTTATATTTCCTACAAAATGGATACAGGACAGTTTGGAATATAACTCTCACATTGCAGCAGGTCTAAACAAGTCTAAACCAGCAGGAGATCATAATATTCCAGGAGGACTTAAAAGCGGATTGGAGCTTTCTTCTTCGTTGGTTGAAAGAGAACAAAGCCCATTGAGAGCTCCTGCCTCAAGGACTTTTTATAGAAGGGTTCACCATGTCAGGCTCTTTCTGTGCTCCTATTGTGGACGATATTCAACAAAATATCGTCCACAAATTGAAGAGACGCCTGAGGGGGCTTTCAAAGAGCATGGGACAACTGAGCCACTCATTTAAGAACACATGCAAAAGACAACACAAAGCACTACTCACAGCTATCTAGAGCAGATGAGTGTTTATCTTGTTTGAGATAAATTAAAATCTACAAGCCAAATTAACTGATTTGTTTATGAAAAACTTTTAATTTATTGCAAAGTCTGTGAGAAGCTTAAAAGCTAAGCTCTTAAACTTAGTTTGATAAGATGACTGGGGATTACATAAGTAGTGTTTAAGTGATGACAAAGCCCTGGAGTATCTCAAACTTTTATCTGCATTATTAATGGCAGCGATCCTTTGTTGAACTCCGGTTGATATAATGCTGGAGTCTTCAGGTGTGAGGGAGATAGAGCCGCTAGATGTTCCCCTGTCAGCGTTGAGGTGAGTCTTCAGGCTAATCTTCACACGTCCAACGCTCAAAACAAAGCCTTTAATTAAGACGATTAATTGAGAGTAACAACTAGAGGCTCAGAGGATTTCATAAGTTTGGTCAAAAGTTTACTTGGGTAGAAAGTAAATCACCACATCTAAAAAAAAAACCTTGTATTTAAATTGAGCTCAGCAGTTCTGTAACACAACACGAGGCTTTTGCCAACATGACAATGAGACATGTGGCAATGGGCCACATTTTGCAAAATGACAATAAAATGTTCCCCTCATTTAGAGCGTTCTGCACACCTTTCATCCAGCTCATCTTTGTCTTATAGCTAAAAGTAGTTTGTGGAGAGTAGTGGCTCGCAATGATGCAATGAGGTCGTTGCTTCAGATTCCTCGATGGCAAAGTGACAATTATATCCGTTAAGGATTTAAACCGCCCCAGAAAGACCAGGCTCAGAAAACACTGGTGAGAATTGAATGAAAATGTCACTCAACACCTTTCAAGTTGATGTAAAGAATAAATTATTTGCTAAAGTGATTGAATTAGACTACGATGACACTGTCAGCCAGGTGCGAACACACAAAACCGAATCAATATTTCGCACTGACACATTTTACAACAGCGATAGATTTGATGACAATATATGATGTGAACTAAACACCAGCATGAATTTCATCTTTGGAAAGTTACATCCTGTCATATTCTCCCTCAAAATGAGAAGCGTGAAGCGGTCAGTGGCCCCGGCTATCAATCGGAGTCACTTCTGAATTCAGCGCTCTCGTTTAGACACACTGGTCGCTGTCGAAGGGGCTGATGTGGAGTTGATCCGCGGTGCCTCGGCTGTTTGAAATGATTTCAAAGCTTTGTGGTGACCGCCCACAAACACATTCACTGGTTTATTGATCCAAAGGGCTTTGATGACCACATGGCCCAGAAAACATCAAACGCGTGACTGATGTGAAGTTGTAATTGTGCATTGAATCTGTGTCTTTTAAACTTTCACTCTTAATGGTGACTGAACAAATTCCCCAAAAGCTGAAGGAGATTATTGTGTGGTGACCTATCTTAAAGATTTAAATAATAACAAAGAAAAACACAGCTTTATTGTCTCTGTCGTGCGAGGATACATACCTTGTTCCTGCGAAAGTAGTAGACAAGCACCATGCTAACGAAGACGATCAGCATGCAGAGGCACTGGAAGGAGACCACGGCCAAGCGCAGAGCTCCGTCCTCTCGCGCCACACAGGGGGTTTCGTCCTTGCAGTAGGCGCAGCCCTGCTGACACGGCAGGCAGTCGCTGGAAGACCCCTCGTCCGCATTGGGACCGCTGTCTGCAGCTTTGCCCTTTCTCCCCCTCCCCCTCCCTGTCACAAAACAAGATGGAGAAATAGAGGAGCAAGAACATCAGCACCTGTCCCAGTTATCTTACCATCATCGGATTTGATCAACCTTCAGTTGTCGTTACTTTTGTTCTCCAAGACAGTGAGTCCTTTACCTTGATTTTGGGAATTATGATTCGGTTATAAAAACGTATTCCTATTGATGTAAAACCCGAGAACCATGTGTTGCAATTGACAGTGCCTAGAAAACTGGTAAGTAAGAAACAGATAAATAATAAATACATTGTTTAATGCTTAAAGTGATAATAGTTTAAACTGTTAACCAAAAAATAATGGATACATGATTTAAATTAGTAGCTAAAAGTAATATATAAACAGTTGAAATGTTACCTAAAATTAAGCAGATTGTGTCGCAACAACTACCATTTTCTTAAGTTGCCTTGGTCATTGTGTTTTCCTCCGGATATGAGGCCGGTATTGAAAGATAAAGGAGATGAAGTGCTTCTTCGAGTATATATTCTTATCCCTCTCTGACCGTACAAGGATTCATCGACATTGTGTCAACACAAGGGAGATGGATCTATATGTGTGAACATGAAAAGTCAACACCGCCGCACCTTGTTCAGTCACTGGCATATCCTTCAAGGCTGATAACTGCGGCTTCCTTAGAAAAAGCCCACAGAGACGCGCCACAACCTGAGTCATTTGTTTAATCCTGACAAGGACGGGGATGATTGGGGAGTCTAAAGACAGGACAGATTGGCTCAAACCATGAGGAAAATATGTGTATTTAAGCTAGGCGCAAGATCTGGGTGGGGAAAGTGCACATATTCAAGAATTTCCAACCACTACATGCTTAAAAAAGAGCTGCTCTGTTGCCAAACCGGACAGCAGCGAAAGCTAAAAACCTCCCAGGGTAAACTAAGGTAAAACCTAAAGAGGGACAACAAGAAGCGAGTGGACTTGTTATTGGTAAATCCCCCTAAGAGATGCCCATATGGTTGGATAGATAACGAATGGTGGACTTATACAGAGCTTTTATGGAGGCTTTATTGGAAACAGCCATTGTCTCAGAGATTTGCAGGGATTTTGCCTTTAAAAAGAAACTGGCCTATTTTTCAAAGCTATGACTCTGCACAGCATTGATCCCTTCAAAAGGACTACTTATCTCCGTAGAAATGAGTCACATCCTTCAGCTCGCTCTCATCGGTTTGTCGCTCCTACCAGCTGACAGACGGTCAGAGGAAGCTAAGTCTCGGCTTCTCCCACATATTAATGTACAAGATCCACAGTGGAAGATCAATGGGAGACAAAGGAAAGTGAGTTGCTCTGGTTTCCTCCGCAAAGGAGTGTCAAGGATGTCCCCTCGTGGATTAACCAGGCTTGTTATTGGACCCTTGGTGGGCCAGACTGCAGCACTACGCCTCGCTAACAGGCTTGCCCTCTCCTCTCTATTATTGTGTTCTCACACACACACACACACACACAGCATTCATGCAGACGTGCACACATAAACACGTACGTTTGTGTACACGGCAAACAGCACAAACAGGCAGAAGCAGACAGCACAGACATCCAGCTCTCTGAGAAAAGACATTGTGAAGCGTTTTTTTTTTTGCTTTTCTGTGCATGAAGGGAAAATGTTTTAGGGTAAAAAAAGACGGTGGAAATGGGTGAGAAAAGGGGTAAAATTGAGACGGGCACAGAGGAAGACGCTGTACGAGGTTTGTGCGGGATGAGACAGGAGGGAAAGTGGATCGAAATGAAAGTATGAGAGTGATGGAGGGCAGGTGAAAACCACTGGGGTTTTCTGTCTGCAAAAGCTGTTTTTAATTAACTCACAGCAGACAGAATAAACTGGGAAAAGTAACTACCATTAAAAAGATATTTCCCACCTTGAACCTGATTAGCCTCCCCGGGTACCGGGGCTACTTCCATCGTCAGACAGGGCAGTGACACGTGCCTCTTTCATCAGCATAGTTATAACATGAAGACGTTATATAACGACACATATTAAAGGTGAACTTGTGGTTCTTTTGATAACAGCTGCTGGTCAACATATACACAGAACTGATGAAATGAGCTCACCTGCTATATTTGTACAAAATGAGAAGCAGTTTGCAGGAGACAAGACTTGTCTCCTGCAAACTGGCTGCTGTGTTCTTTTTTTAACCTTTGCTGGCAAATCACTTAAAATAAATGTGATCTCATAAAACTTTGTGATGAGCTCAAAGTCTAAAATGCATCTTAAGGTTGTGCTGCATGAAGGACACAGAACAGGGTGTCCAATAATAAGGACAGAGGAAGCAAAAAAGGATTAAGATACAGAATGTCTAAGTTTAGCATGCTGTAATCTGCCAAAACAAATTCCTCTGATGGGTTGAAAGTGACCTCTTAATAAGTCACCTTGTAGGGGCCGACCATCCTTTATAAGAATACGTGTGAACAGGCGATTGACTCGTCACTGACTTACTGGTGAAGCCGTTGACAGCCACTCTGTTGGGGTGGTAGAAGCCCGTCTTGCAGCGGCACGTGTACTTGTCCAAGATGAACCCGTGGCCGTGGATCGGCGAACACTGCGAAGAGACAAAAAACATGAACATCAGCCACACAGAGAAGACAGTGGATGCAGTTTGAACTGGACTTTCCCTGATAATAAATGAGTCATCAGTCTTCTTGTTATACGGACTCATGAGACACCAATATAGAAGCAATTACAATATGTCAACACTAGACCAAAAGTAAAGCCTGTAGCCGGGAATCAGAGAGGAGAACATGGGATCAAATGTCTAATTATTTAAGTTGTGAGATTCCTCTCTCTGTCTAACTGTGCCGTCTCGCCACTCAATAATGAATTAGTCAAGCGTCTTCCATTCGATTGAAAGTCTGATAGGAAACAGACTGCCGAGAAAAAAGGAGAAGGGCGTCAGGGGGCATCCTTGGCAGACTTTGTGTGCTGTTGGCCAAATTACGAGATATAATTAATATCTAAATTAAGAACAGGCTTGATTAAAAGGAGAAGCATTAATTCTACTTCTTGTGGGAATGCGATTTTCATCCTCTCTTCTGTGTGAACACATTTGGGTCATTGATGTAAAAAAAAAAAAGCAAAATGATTTTTTTCTTGCTCTCTTTCTCTCTCTCCCTAAAACTACATAACATCTTATTTTCACACTAAGCAGAGATGATAATGACTTATGAGTCCCAAGAAACGACGAGGAGCCCAGAATAGCGGCGGTACTTCAGCCGACACTTGACGCGCTATGAAGTGTTTTTGGCCCCCGACAGCGAGATCCAGAGGCAGGACCAGCGTCTACATGAAGCGTGACGCTCTTCACAGCGGACTGGACTCTGCAGGTCTTAAGAGGGCTATTTCTGACCCGTCTCTCGAGGTACGAATGCTGAGAGTGCGGGCCCTCTGTCAAAGCCTCGGAGAGGCCCGACCAGGGGCTCAGAAGCACAAGGTAATTACCAGGTTATAATTCAGCGAACAAGTGCCTCAAACAAACTCCACTGAAGAGACCGAAGCATTTAAAGTGGCACTACACCGACGTGTTGAACTCCTCGTTTGTAGTGGTGACAGTCTTGAAATGGTCCTTTGCCGCTACGTATGCAGACACTATGTCACACCCACAAGAGTGGACATATTTGCAATCCAAGCTTTGCATGTTTTAATGACAGCTGGAGGTACCTGCTCACTCAACAGTCATATTGACCAACCCGGCAAGACTGAGAGACGTTTAAGAGGCGACTGACGTTCGTGAGTCGGCTTCTCTTTGAATATTGACAGTTTTTATTCAGCACATACAGAGTCAAAGTGTACATTTTGTTTGGGTAAATTTGACAAATCTCCAGGTTAGATGGTGCTTTATGTTGGTGCCTCTCTTTTATGATTCAGGCTGCTGAGTCGTGTGCTCCTTCATAAAACTGGTGCAGCTTTAAATGAGGTCTGTGGTGCAACGTGATTTCCTTTCTCATTCCCCGCAGTAGTCTCCTCAGGACAGGTGGAGCGTGCTGCAGCTACTGCCTGCCACTGCTAATATGCCCACCTCACAAAGGCACTATAGAAACAGCCAGAGACAGGTGTGTGTGCGTGTGTGTGTGTGTGTGACAGGGAGAAACAGGAATAGCCCTGACAGTGCATCCCACTCCTGCCTGCTGCGGTGATTGATGCGGGGACTCGGATGTGGAGTAAGTTGAACGAGGGAAGCGGCCCAGACAACGCAGTCTGGCTCCCAGCTACCTGCCATCAGTCACATGGGATCCTAGGAGCCAGACTCATATCAAGGGGCCGAAAAAAGGAGCTTTTGAACCAGATGTGTAAAGGTCTCCACACAGGGATGAGGAGCTGAGGAGACACCAGGGACGGATGTCGAGGTGTAGGGTGAAGTTATATTCAGATGATTTCTATTCCACCATTTGAAAATAATTGGAGGTTTTCTCAAAAATATAGATTTAAGAAATCAAATGAAAATCTCTGATAATATAAGTAGGCAACTTAAAAAGGTACCAATGTGTATGTTTTTCACCAGTAGAGGCCCTATGAAGCAATGTTTTGATACAAACGTGAACAGGTGTGCTGGTGATGCAACACATACTCTAACTAATGGTGTCACATTATTTAAGTAACAAAGCAAGAAAAAGTGGCAACGCATAAGCAAAATGCAGGTAAGAAAAAGACTGCAAGTAAGCAAACAATGCAAAATTCTATGTTTTTTTTATTAGCTAAGAAATGTTTTATTATGACGGAATTCATTCAACACATTTTAAAGACTCTAGGATACAAATAGTATCATCTGAGGTGATGAGGAAGTTAAATTAACTAAACTTAAGCGCTGAAACAATTTGTCGATTAGTTAACAGGAAAAAAATGAATCGACACCTATTTTAAAATGTTCCTTTATCAAGCAAAAATGCCAAGTATTTGCTGAATCCAGCTTCAGAAATATGAGTTTTTCTCTGTCACATATGTCACAGTTAATGAGATATCTTTAGGTTTGGACTATTGAAAAAGTCACCTATTGTTCTATTTCATAGATTAAAATAATCAGTTAATTGAGGAAAATAATTGTCAGATCATACAATACTGAAACATGGAACTAAACTTATTTAATATCACTACCAAACCTATTTTTCTAAATCAATATATCAGTTAAAATCACTTTTCCACATCTTATATGATTACATTATTGTCAAATACACAACAGATATTTAGGGCTTAAAGTATTCCTTGAGAAACTCGATGATGCAATTTCTTTGAATAATATTATTGTATTAAATTTAAGCAATCAAAATGTAGTATTTTTTCTATTGATCCTTTATGAAAACAAAATATTTTTTTACTCGATTAATTGATAGAATAAATCTGTAGAATACTCGGTTACTAAAACAATCCACAGCTGCGGCCCTGCAGCTATTACAAGGCACCATACTGTTCTAGTGTTTCAAACAGAGCACACGTAGCACTGACCTACTTCTAATATGCACGACAGTTGCTATTAATTATGTTTGATGGTGTTCTATTGAAAGCGAGCAACTCAGGCAGCCATACTGTTCTTTCCATAGTGAGCAGAAGGCGTCGACGTTGCTGCCTGACAGCAGAAATCACATCAACTGATAATTAATCTATACATATATACGTCCATATGATTGAGAATAATGTGTTTGGCTGCACAGAATCTCCAACTGTTGTTTCTGATAAGATCTATTAAATCTTGAGAACAGTAAATATGATTATTCTATGACAGCCACATGTGAGAGACACACTAAGAGCTTGTGTTGTCCTTCCGTGCACCATGGTTTCGCCCACCAGCACCGCTCGTTGGTCACATGCCAGCTGTGGCAGCTGTCAATCACACACACCCTGACATACTAATTGCCATGGTGACATGCGTGTGACCGCAAGCGAGAGCCTTTTTATCGGTGTGCGTCACGCTGTCATGCCAGCGTGGTCTGCCTTGTGCCGGAGCGCTTATAAAAAGGGCTCAGAAACAAGACACAACACGCACACCTTTTATTTCTCCCTTTCTTACAATCAGTGGCGTTTGTAACGTGGTTGGAATCAATTGATAACAATCTAAAATCAATTAAACTCATATGAGGCAATAAACAGAAACCACAACTCCATCTCAGCTCTGGCCCGAGGGAAGTAGGCTTGAATACTAAGTGGCCAAAAGTATGTGGACACCCCAGTCACATAGTTTACTGTTGGTCTGGGGCCATTTGTCATGATTTGAGCTGGACCCTTAGTTCCAGTTGAGGGAAATATTAACGCTAAAGCATTAAATCATAGTTTAGACACATGATAACCAATTAGGGCTGCAGGACATTGGGAAAAATGACATTGCAATATTTTATTTTTCTTCAACTTATATTACAAAAAAGAATAAAACACAGGAATATTCACCCTACATTATCGAGGGTTTTCACTTTGAGCGCAAAATTAAGAGGCTACATAAACAATGTTGTGCTCTAGTAAATAAAGATGTCAAAAAGATCGTTTGAGATGTATGAATGTTTTATTTTGTCTTGTATAAACTTGCCTCCTGTAGCTGCATTTTATCTGGTTAACTAAAGGTGAATAAATAACACCAGAAAATGTTGTATTACCCATGAAATTTAGCCAAGCAGGACTGGAAGGCTAGCAACGTTAGCTGTTAGCAGCCGGCGGGCAGCTAACAGCTAACGTTGCTAGCCGTGAGTCACCTTCACACCGGGCCTTTCTAATCCGACCTACTGTCACTGGCGGTAGCCATGGAAGAGTATCCGCAATGTCACAACGGAAATCAGAAAAATAAATGAAAAATAAAGTGTTTTTCCCCCCCTTTCCCATCCTGTGACTGACCTCATGACCCTTTACATTTCTCTCGTGGGCCAAACACAAATCCTGTTTCTACATGAACGTGCACAAAGCCAGATCCACTGAGAAGTGGTTTTCCAAGTTTGATGTGGAAGAACTCTGACCTCAATCCATCACCTCTTGGATGAACTGGGACTACCACTGGGAGGCAGTGGCCAGTTCACAATAAAGACTTGTGAGCATCATTACTTACACAAACAGGGCCAACAGAGAGTCCTCTCACATGCTCACAAGTACTGCGTTTCCTTTGATTAGCTAAACGTGTCAAAATGAGTGTGAGAGGAAAGCTTGCATGTTGCAGAATTTGTCACAGCTCTGCCCCTTCTCTCCTGTCTCTATATTTCTCACTCATCTCACTCACCTGTCAGCTCATTCAGTGCACCTGTCAGCCTCCCTCCTCATCAGCACAACTCCCCTCACCTGCCTCTATCCAGCCACTATATAAACTCCTGCCTCTCATCAGACGACGTGATGCGATGTGATGTTCGTACGCACGGTTTAAGCACAGATTTGTGTGACTGTTTGAATGATGCCCAGTGTGTTTTATATTTTGAATAAGTGATCAGATAAAAAAAAATTACATTTTCTAAAATGAGAGGAAAGTATGTATTTTATTAGGCATACTTCACCATCATAAATACTGGTGCTCAGGAAGACAGTGAAGACCAGAGTAACTTTCAAAATAAATTCACTAATTGCATATCCTCTGTACATTGC